CGCGAGGGCTCGCCCAGCCAAGGGGTGTGGCCAGAGGCTGGCAGAGAACCAATCACATAGCATCTCGGACCCGAGGTGGGCGGGGCGGGGGAGCCGAATGGAGCCGGAAGTTGCCGAGAGCCGCTCGCGGGGAGGCGGAAATAGCCGAGTCCCTTCCGGAAAGTGCCGAAGTGCCAGCGGCCCCGGGCGCGTTGGCGCCCCCTGGCGGCGGCCTGACCCGTGCGGACACGTGCGGGCATACATTGTTGCGCGTGCACACACACGTGCGTGCACTGCAGCCCACACATGCATTGTCACGCGCACAAACACACGTGCGTGCACATACACGCGCATGTACACGTTGTCACACGTGCACAGGTGATAAGAGAAGTAAGGCTGGAAGGGACCTCAAGAGACCATCCAGTCCAGCCCTGGATCAAAACCTGCACACATGTATTTGTACACCCGTGCATACACACATTCATACAAGTCTGCATACGTTTGTGCACAAATGCATGCATGCAGGCATTGTCACCTGTGCCTCCACACATGCATGCACACACATAGAAGCATATGCACACCTGTGCATGCACGCGTGTGCACACATATGCAAACACCCATTAGCATGTGTGCATACACACATGCATTCGCACACCTGTGAATACAAGTGTGCATATACACACACGCATTCTCATGTGCATACCACATGCATGCACATACACACATACATGCATATTCACACCCTTGCCCACACACACGCATGCATATGTGCATTTCGCCCTCCCCCCACCTCCCGTGCACCCCCGCAATGCAGGCACATGCCGACACTTACTGGCCCCACCGGACAACGGAGACTTCACACCCGTGAGTCTCATGGCCCAAAGGGCTTTATTGCTCTGGATCTACATGACGGCCAGGTTCCCAGGCCCAGCGCCCCCAGGCCCCGCGTTGCAGCTGGGGCTGGAACCTGTTCCCGGCCTGCCGAAGTAACGCCAAACAAGCAGGGAGGGCAGGAAGATAGCGTGCACATGCACTCACCTGCGAGTACACACACGCACACACATGTGTGCACATGTATGCATGCATTCTCATGTGTGCACACACTTGTGTATATTTGTGAGAATGCATGTATATGGACACGTGTGTGCGCGTGCATGGGTGACAATGTATTTGCACACCTGTGCACACACATGTGCAGAGCGCTGCAGACAGGGACGCCCAGGGCACGCACACGCCATTTGAACCCGGAGTGGACCCATGGGTGTCCGTTAACCTGGTTTAAATCACACCAGAGAAGCAAGTAGCATCCTTGCATGGAAGCGTATGTTCCCTGGTCCTCCAGGCATCCCACAATGCCTTGCTCCTGCTGCCGCCCTCACCTCCAGGCTGCTGCAACCAGCTGCTTGAGGAGGACGTGGACCCAGATGAGGCTCCCACCAGAACACGTGCCAGCCGGACCCCAAGTCTCCCAGTCTCAGAGAGAGGAAGTGGCTGGATCCACAGAACCCAGGTGTCCTGGGGGCTGCCCCCTGCTCCCCCCCTGCACAGGGGCGAGGGGAGCCGGCAGCCCATCACCCCGGCCGGGTCCTCCGGGCCCGTGTGAGGACCTCGTAGGCATCTTGCACCTCGATGAAGCGCCGCTCAGCCTCCTGCACGCGGTGCCGGTTGCGGTCGGGGTGCCACAGCTTCACCAGTTCCCGGTAGCTCCGGTGCACATCCTCGGCGGGCGCCCCGTCCGGCAGCCCCAGCACCTGCAAGCGAGGAGGAGCGGCCACCCATCAGACTGGGGGCTCCTTCTCAGGGGTGCCCACCCAACCCCCTTCCTGGGTGGTCCCACCGGACAGAGCAAGGGGGCCCTCACTCCCTCTGCTCCCAAAGCCAGGGGCAGAACCCAGGAGTTCGGGCTGCCTGGGTGGCATCACTGGACCTCCCCCCTCTGCTCCCGGCACCCTGTTGCCCTCCTACCCCATTGTCCCCCTCCCTCTTACGCCTGCTGCTGCTGCAGGTAGTGAAAGCTTTGCACGAACTCGTGGCTTTTCCCCCACTCGGTGCTCATCAGCAGCTGAAGGGGCATCAGCAGCGCCCGCCCCAGCAGCCGGCCGGCAGCTGGAACGACCTCGAGCCAGCCCAGGGCGGTGCCCAC